CCAAAGGTGACAAAGTAAAGGGCCAGGTGTCCGTGGACAACTAACTTAATGGAAACAACTTGCAGGTACAGCCCTTGATTCATTCCCAGCTGCCCAATCTCCTGGCTTCCTTCTAAAGCTGGAAAAGCTGCTCTGTCAAATATTCTTTATTTGGTTAGAAAATACGCATTCATTGAAAGCTAAACACATTTCAGACAGAAAAATGGCAAGCCAAAGCACTTCGGTTTTGGGAGGTGGGGGGTGGGTTCAAAATGTCTTACTTATCTGAAACTATATTTATTGTTGTTTTATACAACACAAAAAGTAAATCTCAGCTGAATACTGGCTTGGAGGGTACAGCATCAGATGTGTGGGAGCCCACAGCCAAGAAGGGATATCTGACAGACTCTGGAGCCAGGAAACCTGCCAGAGAGGTAGGATCTAAGAGAACTTTCAAAGGCTTTAAAAAGACAATCAACCATGTTGGTCTCTACACAACCATCTGGTGAGTGACCAGCAGGAAGGGTGTGATCACAGCGAGGACAGTATTAATTCTTCTTGGTTGGAAATGCGCATTAACTTAGCAGCTGTACAGTCCCCAGTTCTTTAGAAGCTGACTGGCAGCTCTTATTAGCACTGAAAACATCTGGCATGTTAACTCTGCATAACACTTCCAACACTCCTTAAGATGAAGAATATTTGTCCGTGCTTTACCAAAGGCAAGAACAGAGGGGAGGGAACAGGGATTGTACTGGAACTTTGTAAGCAAGTTGATAGGAAACATTGATTCTACTTATTTTTTCCGTTTTAGTTCCTTTAGAGCCATGGAAGCACTAAAAGACGGTGCAGTAACAGCACATTGCTGTTAATTAATATCTGGTTCTTTCAAAACGTGATAATACCAGTCATGGGGCTCGGGCTGGAAGATCCTTCTCTCCCAGCACCAGCTCTGTGACTGCAGGGCAGCACTGAGAGAAGAGTCTCCCAGCTCGAGCTCTACAACTGCAGAGCTGGTGCGGGGAGAGTAGGATCTTCCAGCCTGAGCCCCATGATCTCCCAGCCCTCTCTCCTCTATTGTGATCTTGCAGCAGGGGCTGGGAGTTTGAGATGGGAAGAGAAATGGGTGGAGCCAAAGGAGGGACATAGGCTGGGTAAATGTTAATATGTATGAACCTAGTTGTATAAAATGTAAAAAGAACTAATGTTCAGTGCAGGTCC